GCAAGCATACCAATCTCCATTGGCAAATATCAAGAAGAATTTTTGTGTGACATAGTACTATTGGAGGTTAATCATGTCTTGTTTGGGAGGCCATGTCAATTTGACAAGAAAACAATCCATGATGGCCTCACGAATAAAATAAGTTTCCAACACTTGGGTAAGAAATTTGTGTGGTGTCCTCTATCACCTTTTCAAGTGAATGAGGACCAACTCAAATTGAAAGCCAAGAAAGATGAAGAGGAAAAAAGCAAAAACAAAAACAAAAACAAAAAGAAAAGAAAAGAAAAGAGTTTTTCCTTTGGAAATAAGGAAGGGATAGGTTCAAGAGAACCTTAACCCTTTTGCCATCCTCATTCTTTTGGTGCCAAAGAAAGATGGAAATGGAGGATGTCCACCAGTTTTAGAAAGCCATCAATAAATATAGCCACCCAATCCTTAAGCTAGATGATTTGATGAATGACTTACATGGGGTCATTAAATTTTTCTAAATTTGCTTATATACATGCTTGGTGATGCCTTTTTGGGCCTCCCCACTCCCCCTAGCACTCTCATCCATCTAATCATGTACTTAAGGATTGAGTAGAAAAGTTTTAGTAGTTTATTTACCTATTTGTGGTCTCACATCTTTTGAAGGGACCAATGGAATGGATGAGCATAAAGATTTGAGATCAAATCCTTCTCAAGAAAGAGAGGATGATGGAGGACCATCCTTGGAGCTTCATGTGGGACCCATCAATAGGTCCATGGCTAAGGGATTGGAAGAGGATAGAGAGATAACAACCTATAGACATACTTCTTGTGATTAAAGGATATTGCTCAATCTGCTAAGCCTTGTTAGCATAAAATTTATCTTTTATGCCTATTTTTCCCTTGTCTTTATTTTTCCCATTTTTACCCTTGTATTTTGGGTATCTTAGACATAGGATTTATTTTACTTGTATTTCCCATTTTACCCTTGTATTTTGGGGTATTTTAGTCATAGGATTTATTTTCACTTGTATTTCCTATTTTACTTTTGTATTATGGGGTGCCTTAGATTATAGGATTTTATTTTTGGACTAGGGTATTCTATTAGGGTGAGAAATAGGCCTAGACATATTTTTTTGTGTGAACATTAATCTATTTTTGGACTTGGAAAGGCTTAGGTCCAAGTGGAGGGCACCTAGGTTGCATGGTCTTATCATGCACCTAGTTGTAGCTTAGCCAAACCCGAAAATTCCATCCTTGGCCACCAAGTAGCATCTAGGGTTAATTTGGGTTTCATTTGAAGTGCATTTGGCATGCAAATTTCGGCCATACACTTCCAAATGCAACCCTAGATGCTCCTTCCCCTATAAATACCCTAAACCATGCACCTTGTAAATACTTTGGATTATATGAATTTGAGAGAGCATTTTTCCTTAAATCCTTTCCTTAGTCACTTGGTCTACACGGCCTACCTCTCCTATCTCCTCCCTTGAGTGAGTTTAGGGTTCCTTGAGTGGCCTTCACCTCCACTTGGTGAAGAGAGCCAACCTAGAGCCATCAAAACACCTACCTCCACCCATTTCTCCTATTCGCCCACCATAAACATCTCATGCCCACCTTTCCTGTTCCTCCACCCTTAAAGGAAAATCCACCCTCTAAGGTCAGCATCTTGGCCTTGTCAAGAAGCTCCTCTTCACCATTGAACGCCTTGGTCATCCCTTGGTGGAAGGAGTTCATCAAGGTAAATTCTTATATTTGATGACATAAGGAAATTGTTCTAAATACTCAACCCATTTTGCATGACTTTTATTTAATTTACCTTGCCCCCTCAAATATTTTAGTGATTCATGATCACTATGAATGACAAATTCCTTGGTCACAAGATAATGTTCCCAAGTTTGAAGGGATCGAACTAAAGCATAAAGCTCTTTGTCATAGGTTGGGTAGTTCAAGGCATCCCCATGAAGTTTTTCACTTAAATAAGCTATGGGATGACCACCTTGTAACAACACAGCTCCTATGCCAATTCCTGAAGCATCACATTCTAGCTCAAAAGTTTTGTTGAAATCTGGTAGAGCTAGAACAGGTGCTTGAGTAAGCTTTTGCTTTAGTTCTTGAAAGGCTAAATTATGTTTTTCTTGCCAAAGAAAGACCACATCCTTCTTCACCAACTCCTTGAGGGGTGAAGCTAATGTAGAAAAGTTAGGAACAAAACATCTATAAAAGCTTGTCAATCCGTGGAAGCTCCTAACTTAACTAACATTAGTAGGAATAGGCCATTCTTGGATGGCTTTGATTTTCTTAAGGTCCACATGAACCCCATTTTTACTCACTACAAAACCCAAGAATATAACATTATCCACACAAAAGGTACACTTTTCTACATTGGCAAACAAGTGATTGGCTCTAAGCACAAGTAACACTTGCCTTAAGTGATCCACATTGTCACTTAGGCTTTTGCTATAGATTAAAATGTCATCAAAATAAACAACTACAAACCTACCAATGCAATCCCGAAGAACATGATTCATTAACCTCATGAATGTACTTTGATGGAAGAGCATGGGCTAAAGGCCCAACCACTAGAGCTATGGCCAGGAGGTTACTTGAAGATTTGACTGCTTCAGAGCTTAGTGGGCCCAATGGGCTTGGTGGGCGTAGGGTGCTTCTTACTTGGGCTTAATTGATTATACACCATGTTTAATTGTACTTTCTTAGTTTAGGAATCTATTTTCATGTTGGTCTTGTATTTTGACCATAGATTAGGGTTTAGGCTAGTTGGGCCTAGTTTTGGGTTTCATGGGCCTTTGGGCTTTTGGTACCCAATATTGGGCTCATTATTTTCCTTGTAATATTTCCTATTGATTGTATTCATTAGACCATTGTATTTTGGTCATTAGTTTAGGGTTTAAGGAGGTTTAATAGTTCATTTGAATTAGGACAAATTAGGTCAAATTTAGGATGAATTTAAGTTGCATTTAGGTCACACTTTTGGCACCACCTTGGTTGCACAAGTGTGACACCGAAATGCAACCCTAAATTCACTCTAAATTCAACCTAATCTCTCATTTAGCTCTACATGACCGGTCATGAGCATGTGACACAAGGTTTGAATTCAAATTTGAATTTGAATTCAAATCTTGGCGCCAACATGTGACCAATCATGTGGCGCCAAGTGTTCTCCTCAAATTCGGATGCTATATGTTTCCCTCCTCTCATCTATTGTACTCACTTTGAATATTGAATAGAAATTTGAGAGCCTTTGGCCGAGTTTCTCCCCTTCAAAGCCACCAAGATTACTCACCTCAAAACCTTAGGAGTTCATCTTCTTCTTCTCTTTGAAGTGAGTAATCCATTGCTTCTTGAGCTTGGATACTTCCCTCCATAGCTTAGGAAACCTAGATTCGAGTTTCTATTGTCTTCAAGTGTTCTTCATCACAGTTTCTAATCTCCTTTGAAGAAGATCCTAGCATTGGCGGATTCAAGGAGGAGGCCTTACTTCACTTCTCCTAGTCTTCTCCATCATACTTGGTGCATTAGTAAGCCTAAATGGCATTACTAACCATTCATATAATCAAAATTTAGTCTTAAAAGTAGTTTTCTACTCATCACCTTCTTTAATACGAATTTGGTGATATCCACTTTTAAGATCTATTTTGGAAAATATGGATGAACCATGTAATTCATCAAACATGTCATCAAGCCTAGGGATTGGGTGCCTATATTTTATGGTGATGTTGGTGGTGGTTCGACAGTCACAACACATCCTCCATTTCCCATCTTTTTTTGGCACCAATAAAACAGGCACAACATAAGGGCTTAAGCTCTTTCGAACTCAACCCTTATCCAACAAGCCTTGTACTTGCTTCTCTATCTCTTTAGTTTCTTGTAGATTTGTCCTATAAGCTGGTCTCCTGGGAAGACTAGCTCCTGGGGCAAAATCTATTTGATGTTTTATACCCCTAAAAGGTGGAAGACCATTAGGTCCCTCACTAGGGATTACATCATCAAATTCAACTAAAAGATTTTGAATATCAAGAGGTAGAGAAGTATCTACATGACTTGTGACAGTGCATGTGAGTGTTCTCCTACAAATGAGGATATACGAAGATGGTTCAATCAAAAGAGATGTTTTTGCCAAAGATTTAGTAAAAAGATTCTCCTTTTGTTGAACTATCTCTAGAGAAGGAACACTAAGCTCTCTAGAATCCTCTTGATTTTTAAGTTTTAGGGTTTTTTTTTACTTTCTTTATTTTTTTCAAACTATTTTTCTTGGTCACGTTTAGCCTTCATTTGTACTTGATCCTTAGTCACTTGAGATGGTGAAAGAGGATGAAGTACAAACTTTTTACCCTTATGTGTAAAGGTTATCTTGTTAGTAAGGCCATCATGAGTTGTTTTTTTTATCAAATTGCCATGGCCTTCCTAACAAAATATGGCATGCCTCCATAGGAACTATATCACATTTAACTTTATCTTTATAGTTCCCAATAGAAAACTCTACCTCTACTTGTTGATTAACTACCATATCCCCATCTTTATTGAGCCAATGAAGTTGATAAGGTTTGGGATAGGGTGTGGTAGTTAACCCTAACTTGTCAACCATCCTAGTGCTACAACAGTTGCACCAAGAGCCACTATCCACAATGAGAGAGCATGATTTGTTTGAAATATTACACCTTGTGTGAAATATGTTCTCCCTTTGTGAATGTGTATCACTAGGTTGGTTGTTAAGGAGCTTTCTTACTATAAGTTCCCCATCATAAGGGTATGTGACCTCACATTTTTCTTCCTCACTTGTTTCTTTTTCATCCTCACTTGAAGATGAAGAAGTAGTAGCCTCATCTTGACTACTATAAATGTCTTGGCCCCTTAAAATCATAACTTTTTTGTTAGGGTATTGAGAAGCAATG